GGAGTGGAAAGACCAAAAACTGAGCTAGAGGTCTTTAAATTTCTCAAAAGTACTCTGAGGTGTGGTTTGCTTGAGCTTTTCTGCTTTCAGTGCCATTGTAATCAACACATGTCTTTCCCAAGAGACTAATCAACAGCAGGAGAAGCTGTGCACAAGTATTCACCCCCTTACTCCAAGAAAAACACAAGAGTTGGTTTTATTGTTAAGGCCACGTCAATCACATCTAAACTCTAACCGTGCATGAAAATTCCCATGTGAATAAACCAGGACAAACATTTAAACATGGTGCTCAAGGTTTCTCAGCATCAGATCGACTCTGTGTATCTCTCCTCCGAACATCCACCAGGAATGTTCTCAAAACAACAAATCCTCCCTGTTGGGCATCACACACAAAAACACACTGAAGGCCTTGTATAAAAACATCCAAAGACACATGCAGTCAGCATGTACAGACTGAAAGTCACACACCTCAAAAGAAACAAATACAGACACACACACATGCACTCTCCAATCAGTGGGGGGGGCAGTCACACACCTCTGTCAGTGCAGCTCTCACCATATCTGAATATAGCAAAGAGGAACAGTGTGTCACTTGACACTGTCAACATGTAACATGGTGTCACCATCAAGTTGCTAATATCGAAATCCTTGGACTAAAGGTGTGTCAGGAACCACAGCTAGAGGTAAGAAAAGAGTGTTGCTTCATGGAGACATGGGGAGGCCTCTGATAACACACGTCCTGTTACTATGAACTTTGATACAGACTCACATGTATATGGACACCCACCTCAGCACCACAGTCTTTACTAAGTGATACTCTGGTGAGATGGATTGATTTAGTGTCTTGTTTGCCTGCTATAATTGCAGTGGAAGAATGCAATAAAAGGTTCAGTTAAACTTAGGATACTTTTAACACACTCTGAAGGCAACTATGCAGTTAATGTATCATTACAGTACATTTAGAATACAAATAAAGCTTTTTGAATTGAATTGAGCGTCAATACATCAATTGTTTTGTCGAGACTGTCTGGATTGACTCACAGCTCACCTCACCCACCTCCCTCCTCTGAGTGTGTTTGCATCTGTGGGCAGCATGTGGGTAATGCATGTCAATTCTGAACTGGGAGGTAATTAAATGAACAGAGGGCCAGGGGGCGGGTGATTCACTGAGTCAATAAGGTGAAAGCAAAATACAAAACCAGTCAGGGACCAAACATCAGCTGACGCTGGTTCACCTGTCATCAAATGAAGTGATTATGTGAAGATGGATCTACATTACATGTCATCCTCAGAGTGGAGACGGGGCAAAGCAGCTTAACTGAAATACAACCCATCATACCATGTGTATGAGTTCAGTCTGGCACCCTGAGAATCGCCCCTGTGTAATGTTGAGTCTACAGCTGCCTTCTGTGTGTGTGTGTGGTGACACAGGACAGATACAGTGGCCTTACTAACTATCTGGTCCCATGAGCAACAACAGGCCCAGCTGTTGGTGAGATAGCTTTAAAGGCCTTAGTTCCCGGTTCTCCAAAATCCCTTTTCCAGAGCTGACACACTAGCTCTACAGTGTGGGAAGCAGCTAGGCTATACTAAGCAGGAGAAGAGCTGTGGAATTTTCCACTCAAACACAAGGAAAACAAATCTTCAGTCATGTCTGACTGCAGATCAGCTGAGGAGCTGAGACACTGACAACCAGCAACTTGTTTAAGACTGACGGTCTTACACAGAACCTTTGTGCCACATACTCCCTCTACTGGCAAGACGGAAAAGTGCAAAACTTTACTTCTATGTACTGTAAAAAAGCGTCATTAGACAAT